CGGCGCGATTTAGTTTCTGTGATAAAAAAAATTCGAAAAACCGTCAAATTTTGAGGAAAAAAGGTTAGAACAGCAAAAGTATAATGTTACATACCCTTCAAGTACTTTCTAGTTCTTCAATAAAATAAAAAACTTTGTAATTGGGCACAATTTTGCCCCCACATTTTTTTCGATATCTTTTATGATAAAGGAATTGTGTTCCGAGGGGCGTTAGATGCTACCCCCTGTATAGTTCAGGTGGTGATGTGCTGGAAAGCCTATAGCTAATATTTTTTAGAACACGGCAAACAATGTTTCTTTTTTGAGTCCACAGAATATCGAAATATATACCTCGATCGATCCAACTTTTTTGCAAAATCCATGGCAACTTTAGTCTAAATTCTGCGATGTGATAAAAAATTTATATTGTTCAGTAAAGTCAGCTACCTATATCATTTACATAAATAACATAATACACAATTACGTTTAAATAAACCATATCTATGGAATTTGTACTTGTTCTAAATTTACACGAAGTATGCATCGATGTTCGATTTTCCAAGAAAAGCGGAACCAAAACAATCCCGTCCCAAAACAATTCTACGAAATTTACGACAGAAAAATGTTGAAAGTGAAAAATTACTTTGTTTAAGCGAACCGTACGACAAATAAAATATTTTGCGTACGCAAATCTCGGAAAATACATAAATGAGAAATATGGCATGAAAATGCGCGACGCCCACCGCTTCCCGTAATAAATTACGCTTATAAATAAACTATCGAATGGATTCTCATTTTTTTGCAATACTGACGACTTGATGAAATATTACCAGAATTGCTATTTGGAAATGCATTTCGAGCGTGCACGAAAGTAAACGAAATCCAGTTTGGAACAATAAACATATTTTTAGAAGGGGTTTCATTACCATCACATAACAGCACATCCAGACCAAATTAAATAGTTAGTTACCTCGAAAAATGCATATTTCTTTGCAAATTTTGGGTAAATCATGTAGGGTATCGGAAGGAAGCTCCTTCCCTCGATTGCCCCTAAAAGCTACTCTATAAAAAATAAATTTAGTATGTAGATACCCCATGATGGGGAAGAAGTGATTAGATTTTTGGCTTTGGAGGTCAGTTCCCTCGAGCTCTGTGCAACGCTAACTTGGCTTTTATGCGAATCAGAATAAACACACAATTAAATTCGCTGGCGCTACCACCTCTCTATATCTATAGGTGTTCAGCAGCGCCCCCTGTCACTAACTCAGTGGAGACGGGATGGATTCCAAGTTGACTCGAAACCCTGAACCTACGACAACGTTCAAGTTGCCTGAGACAGAACAAATAAATGTGGGCGCCACCACTGCTGAATATACCGGGAGCCGGACCGTAGCTGTTGAAAAATCCAGACGACACCTTCAGTTTCCAAACTCCAAAGGATCCTTTCACAGACACAATTACCAACAATCATACACGACATAATAACTTCACTAGTTGTACAGCCAACAAAAACTCCCAGTATAATGCAATAAATATTGATTAATATATTAATCTATGTACAGAACATGCAAATAATAATAGAAATTGTATAAACAGGGAACCGCTAGGTTAACCCCAGGGCCACGATACAAACTCTGACTAGGCCGCCGAATCAAGTAAACACACCCCCATCCCACCCAACTTACGAACACCAAAAAAAGGGACTTCCTTCTACGAATGCAGCTATACATGTAAATCCAGATGTTTTCTCCAAACCAACCAAGCGGATGTCCCGATTTTTAACCAATTTCACATTACGCAATAACTTTCAAGTACCAACCAAATTACAAAATCGCCATCTTGCCGCTATCGTGCAAATTCTGGCAGCTCACGAAGACTAACAAACCAATAATCAGACTACGAGCAAAAATCACTACTACACCAACCGTTACAACTGAGGCACAAATTGCATGATCACGATACTGAGTTTAGTTGCCTCTTTTGGGTACAGTCGTGAAATCAAAATTTTAATGGACCGGGCTAGCCCATTTTTTACCGTTTGAGCTGCGTATCGCGAGAATATAACATCTAGATTACCAAAATCTCGACACGAATTTTAGAAGGTCCAAGACCGCCCCTTCTCGATATGAAAGCCAAGTTATACTTTACAAAATTGTAATGGCCGCCCGTTTGTATATTCTTACAGATTGTCATTAGGCAAAGAACCCAAATTGATACTAAGACTGATCGATTAAGCTCTCGAGGGGCATTACATGTAATTTTGTGTTTATTTAATTGCAATGTATTTGCTTGGAATTAAACTCAGTGGATACGCCCCACACAATGCGCCAATAAATAATAAATTCTGTGGACTGACTATCGCCGAGGCCCGAGACCTCTCCAGTAATAGACCGAGAGCCCGCGTAGAAAATACATCGTCATGGGTACAAAAGGTTTGATGTAACCAAGCAGTAGAATGTCACCGTGCGATTCCAAAATCGCCCGTCTGCCGGCCGGCGGCGGTCAACTTAGCGCGGGGGCGAATTTTGAAAACTGTTCCAAATCACATAATACATCGTCATTGGTACACGTATGATTTTTGGCAATCTGATCCGGAAATATGTACCCAATTCGTAGTTGCAACGGCAGACGTTGTATCTGGGCAACTTTTCCGAGCAGACGCGATTAAAAACATTAAAAAATTATTAAATACCTCGTCATAAGGTACACGCTCGAATTATAGCTTAAAATAAAGCTCTTTGAATGTAGAATTTGGGAAAACTAACGAAAACGCGGCAGACGGTCGTATAACTATAGCAGACGCCTTTGAAATTTATAGCTCGATCTGCGTTTAACGCATTACTCCCCGTGCGATAAAGCGAGAGCGCTGTCACACAAGCACGCTCTGTCGTATAGGTACTTGCAAAAACGGAACTACAGCTGAAAGTAGGTAAAATGTAGGCATGCCACAAATAATGGGATTTATGAAATTTTCTCAACTGTCACAAAACATGACCAAAAATATGAAAACATATATTTCTACACTAGGTATACATGTAGGTAAATGCAGTATTAATATGTAAATAACGACTAACACAAGCTACAAAACGTTATATAAAAAAGTGTTTGGAAATTGGAATGCAAATATAGAATATAGAAAACGAATCTCATCACCAAAACTAGCAACAAAACAACAAAAAAGAAGAAAATTCATATCTGGGATAGGTATTCTGAAAGATAAATATAGTTCTTATTAATACTATAATACACATGTATTTGGGAATACTTACATCATATTATCGGCTTCACTCGTCTTCATCACTGGAGGATATATACAATCTTTCATCTTCCGGTATATATTCGGCATCGGATGTGTCATTAGTTATGCATATTTCTTCCAGAGTTGAAGGCGTTTGTGGACCTACAAACCACTGAGGATACAATTTGTCATCGAGCAGCACCCAGCCGTGTTCTGTAGGATTGTAGAAACTGATATTCGCGTTGCACTGCACCACAGAGCACAGATTTGGTTAACACGTTTTATTTTACAGTGCAAAACATCTCTGCAAGGAGGCAGTAGACTGCCATCAAACTTTTTGAGACTGTCTAATGGATTAGTATGTTCATGTTTTGGTTTGTAATGATTTAATAATGTGTCAAATCTGGCTTCATTAATACATGCACCGGAACTGACCAGTGAACAAATAAGCGGCATTAAACATTTCTTATGCAAAATGTATAATCAACCCAATTATGAAAATATTAATGAAGCCAGATTTGACACATTATTGAATCATTACAAACCAAAACATGAACATACTAATCCATTAGACAGTCTCAAAAAGTTTGATGGCAGTCTACTGCCTCCTTGCAGAGATGTTTTGCACTGTAAAATAAAACGTGTTAACCAAATCTGTGCTCTGTGGTGCAGTGCAACGCGAATATCAGTTTCTACAATCCTACAGAACACGGCTGGGTGCTGCTCGATGACAAATTCTATCCTCAGTGGTTTGTAGGTCCATAAACGCCTTCAACTCTGGAAGAAATATGCATAACTAATGACACATCCGATGCCAAATATATACCGGGAGATGAAAGATTGTATATATCCTCCAGTGATGAAGACGAGTGAAGCCGATAATATGATGTAAGTATTCCCAAATAGGTACATGTGTATTATAGTATTAATAAGAAAGAACTATATTTATTTTTCAGAATACCTATCCCAGATATGAATTTTCTTCTTTTTTGTTGTTTTGTTGTTAGTTTTGGTGATGAGATTCGTTTTCTATATTCTATATTTGCATTCCAATTTCCAAACACTTTTTTATATAACGTTTTGTAGCTTGTGTTAGTCGTTATTTACATATTAATACTGCATTTACCTACATGTATACCTAGTGTAGAAATATATGTTTTCATATTTTTGGTCATGTTTTGTGACAGTTGAGAAAATTTCATAAATCCCATTATTTGGGGCATGCCTACATTTTACCTACTTTCAGCTGTAGTTCCGTTTTTGCAAGTACCTATACGACAGAGCGTGCTTGTGTGACAGCGCTCTCGCTTTATCGCACGGGGAGTAATGCGTTAAACGCAGATCGAGTTATAAATTTCAAAGGCGTCTGCTATAGTTATACGACCGTCTGCCGCGTTTTCGTTAGTTTTCCCAAATTCTACATTCAAAGAGCTTTATTTTAAGCTATAATTCGAGCGTGTACCTTATGACGAGGTATTTAATAATTTTTTAATGTTTTTAATCGCGTCTGCTCGGAAAAGTTGCCCAGATACATCGTCTGCCGTTGCAACTACGAATTGGGTACATATTTCCGGATCAGATTGCCAAAAATCATACGTGTACCAATGACGATGTATTATGTGATTTGGAACAGTTTTCAAAATTCGCCCCCGCGCTAAGTTGCCCGCCGCCGGCCGGCAGACGGGCGATTTTGGAATCGCACGGTGACATTCTACTGCTTGGTTACATCAAACCTTTTGTACCCATGACGATGTATTTTCTACGCGGGCTCTCGGTCTACTAGTTATATCAAGTCTCTAGTTACAATGGTCAAAATGTAGTATTTTACCCGGTATATAAAATAAATGTGACACCATTGGAACCACGGTCACGGGAACTGTTTGGAACATACTGGCAACGTTGCTCACGCCAACCGTCAAATCTCTAACCTCAAACTTATGAAATTTTTACATTTTTTATCTTTTTAAATTTTATTTTAGTTCACTTCATGAAACTCTTAATGCCGTACTATAATGGAATCGGACGATCTCCTAAAAGTTGATATAGATTGTTAGTATAATGGGTTAATTTGCGACACAAAGTATCCTCTTTCGTTTTTTCAGTTCTTCGTAAGTACATCACCAAAACTCATTATGCGAAACGGATGAGCTTTTGGAACAATTATTTTGAGAAATATGAGAAACTCATTGCGGAAGATACGTATTATGTCAGGAAGGGCAATGATGGTGAGTTTGACTTTTAGTGACCTTTGACACACGATTGGTTACTCTTATAGAATACGATCCAAAACCAGAAATTAAGCTAACGGAAGATGATACTGTTGGTCAACCAAGTATCAAAAGTGTAATAGTTTGATATGCATTTTTAAAAGGGTATTGTACAAAGTATTGTTTAGGGTTGGCTAGTGGAAAGCTGTTGTGATATTGTTCCCGATCGGAGTTGTAAGGGAGCAAGTAGTTGGTTAGACGAAGAAGAGACAGATTTGATAGTTCCCACGTGTGGTGCTACGATTTTACAAAATTCATTCGTCCAGAACTGGCGGGTAGAACCTGCCAATTCTGTACCAAGCACTTTCGGAGATTCCACCCATTTCAGTGTGACAATTTTACCAGCAGCAGTAAAATCTTTTATTGAAGATGAACTAAATAGTAATCTATCCGCCGTTATCTATAAACGTTATTGTGCGCAGGTTGAAAATAACGTAGAGGAATATGAGTACTGGACAAGGGTGGTAATGCATGATTTAAGTGTTTTAAGTGAAATAATTGACAATAAGAGTTTATGTGAGTACTCACAATCGGCTCTGTTAGAGTTAATTACAACAAACAGCAATGGAAAGAGCGAGGTGTTTTAACCTTTTATGTGTGTAACATTTTTATTAATTGTAAATGCTATTTTATTTAAAAAATAATTTATTAGGTAGACATATATGTTAATTGAATTACTTAAGTAAATGCTAGCAAAAATATATACCATATTTAATGTACAAAATGTGCTTATGTGTTTGCGGTTGATGCACAGAACAGTGGCGGTTGATGCACAGAACAGTGGCGTATGTTCTATGGACTAATGCCCTTGGTGGTTGCTTATTTTGCTTGACCTTTTTTTCACCACATGTTGTAAAGGTGGAAAGTTTTAAATAGTTGCAGTGTAATTAGGATGTAATGGAGCGCATTTTAAATGAATAGCTTAGCAATGGAGGCTATATGAACCTTGAATTGACACTGATGTGAAATGGCCAGAGTTGCCAACTTTTCGTTCTCACATATCGCCAAAATGATCTCTGGATATCGCCCAAAATCGCAAAAGTTGGGATTTCTTAAAATCGCCCAAAATCGCAAGGTTTTCCAAATAAATTTCACAATAAAACGACAAAATAAAATTGAATTTATTTCATATTAAAAAATCCCATATTCACAGATAGCTAAAGGTAGCACAACAGATAACAATAAAACAACAGATATGCGCGCATGTAAATACTACGTCCTAATACTGTTCTGTGGTCCTAATGAGAATGAGAGAAATTAAATGTAATAAGTTCCCTGTGTTTTCGAAGTCGCCCAATTTGGCAACCCTGGAAATGGCATTCTTATATGCTCAACGATATCTAGTATCTCCGAGTCGAACCATGGTTAGGTTTCTAGTGCTATTTGGTTATATTATTGTTAGATGGCGCCGCTAATATTACACTTGACTCCCGTCTGTAAGTTTAATTTAATCCCTGGCCTCTTTCACATTTTTCTCCTTATCACACGCGTTTTATACCTTCGTCTTCTTTAGATCTTATCTTTATCCCTTTAACACCTATTTCTCTGCTGATTTACATTCCGCCCTCTATGTTCTCGGCTCTCCCCTGATCGCAGTTCTTTCCTTTACATCTCGTTCTATTACCTCACGCAGAGGCGGACTGGGTACTTACGGGCCAGGTGGAATTGCATAGGTTACGGGCCATTAAAGTATTAGTGTAGTAATGAAGGTGGCGGGGGGGTAGCTCTGCGGTGCACCACAAAAACATTTTTTGCTTCATTTTAAGGTAGCTACTCCTCTTTCGGAAATCAATTACAATACAGTTTTTTTTTAAATTGCAGCCGATAATTAAAAGTAACAAAATATACAATCCAAACGAGGCGCGTCGCCTATCATTGTATTTCAGCACTTTCATGCTACGACAAAAAATGATAAATTCATTGTAAAACACTTCAATTAAAACAGAATTTTTTAATTTTTTAACAACCTAACATCAACTCCAATTAGAGAAACGTGTTAATAATTTATTAATAGTGCAAGAAACTAAATACAGCACATACTTATAAATTTCCAACGGGCCATTATGACGTACAGGCCAGGTGGCAATCGCCACCCGCCCCCCCGGGCCAGTCCGCCCCTTGTTAGAGTGTTTCTTGGAAGTGATATATACAGGGTGGTGACTTGCGTAACGCATCATAGGGATTTCAATGTAAAATTCATTACATGCGATTATTGGCTCCCCACATTGTTTTAGAGCAAGAATGTATTAAGGTTTTTTGTAGAACAAAATTTTTTATGTCAATCAACCGTATTAGTTTTCAATTTTTTCCATATAATGACGGAAAATTGGAAAAATAAAACCCGCATCTTTTTCAATAATCTGCGATGCCATGGAATTTTCTAAAACAAAAAGATATCCAAAAGTTATCAATTAGCAGCAGTTCGAAATGGATTTTATGATCGACTTGGTTACTGTCTTGCAGTTAATGGTGACTTATTTGAACATTTATTGTAAATTGTTATATTAGGAAACAGTTTTTAGTAATTTGTTCTTTCTTTATGTTGAATTCGCTGTTCTAAATATAATACTTATTGATAGAATTTGATTTGTTTTATAGCAGACATTCCATGGCATGACGGATATTGGCGTAGTTTTTGTATTATAAAATTCCATGGCATCACAGATTATTGAAAAAGATGCGGGTTTTATTTTTCCAATTTTCCGTCTTTATTATGCAAAAAATTAAAAACTAATACGATTGATTGACGTAAAAAATTTTTTTCTACAAAAAACCTTAATACATTTTTACTCGAAAATAATTTCGGGAGCCAATAATGGCATGTTATGAATTTTACATTGAAATCCCTATGATGCGTTACGCAAGTCACCACCCTGTATATTGTTAGAAATTAAAGCGACGGCGGCTATTCATTAGAAAAGTTATGTATGGATACATAGAATAACAAGATTGTCAAAAATTAAATGTGATTTTTAACATACTAACATATAAACCTATATGTATAATGTATATTGGCCTGTTAGCCGCTTTTCTTCACTTCTGTATCCTTATTAGTCTTACTGACGCCTCCTCCTTTGACATTTTCACCTCTTCAAATTTCCTTCATTCTCATTTTTTCATAATTCTCCTTCAAGATTCCTTCTAGGTAAGTAATAAGCGCTTGATTTCTTCATGTCGCTTGTTTACACTTTCCTTCTATACTTACCTATACATATAGGCACCGGTATCGGTTCCGGTTATCAGAACTTCTTGAATAACGGTTCCGGTTCCAAGTGAAGAGCCTATAAACACAATCGGTTCCGGTACCGGTTCTTTTCGATTCCGGTTCCAACCCCTTTGATTCCTTAGCTATAACGGTACTAAAACCGATACCTACTGGTAAATATTTACGTTTATGGCCCCTACACTATGGAACAACGGAAGTCACACACTTCAATGCCATAATGAACCATTTTTCTTGTATCTATTAAATCACAGCCACCATTTTTTGAACATATCACCATTCATCGAAGAACAATTAACCAAACTAATGTTTTACAACTAGAAACCATCGCCATCGTGTAAAAATATGATCTGATGACAACTTCATCCTCTACTGTTATCCCTTCCAGATTCAAACATAAATTAAAGTAAGACATGGGATCAATTGTCCACAACCTCCTCTTTTGTTTTATAAATGTTTGTTCGGACAAACAAGCGGCACTTGTTTATTGAACCAAGTACGTAAGCAAACGCCTGAAACTGGAGCCTCAAGACAAGCGAGACTGCCCTTCGTTAGGGCCGTCCTTTCTCCTCAATTACGGTGTCCAGTTCAATAGTTCACTATTGTACCGTAACGATGCGTTATTTTGTTTCAAATCCTCTATCGGGGCGCGCTTGAGATTTTATTAACGCCCCATTACAAAGAGAACGTCGCGTACATATTATTAACACTCGAACCCTGGAGAGTTCACGTGACCTCACATAATCAAACGAAATCTCGTACAAAAACAAATCCCGCATCATCACAATTGAAAATAAATGGCGGACGACCGTTAGCGGATATTGCGACACAAAAGAACCGCACGTTTTCCTCTTGAATTAAGTCAGTAAAATCACATTTGAAACAAGTACACCCTCATCGCGGACGACGAGAAAAAAGCGAGAGGGATGGGATTAAAACACCGAATATACTCCGGAGATTTGATCCCAAAACAGACGACACACGCCAAAACAAAGAGAAGTTGTAAGGATAACAAGCACGAGCGTCGTCTCATTGTTGCAGCTTTTGTCCTGTACACCAAAAACAAAATAAACACGTAATAATAACGACGATTCGCCCGTTAGGGGGACACCCGCCGTTTTGGTTCGGGTTCATGTTTTACAAATTGTTTTAATTTTATAACATTCTTTCTATTAAAAAGACGAGACACGTATCCCATTTTCGCCCCTTTTAATCACCGCGCTAGGAAGGTATTATGACGATTTCGTTGTATCCGCGTTGTCATGGAGTGATCCTAATTTAGTGACAGGGTGTCACACGGCGCAGGTGGTTCTCGTCCTCCTAATGAGGGGATTTACATCAGTTTAACACATGTCATTTGTGTACAAATACTGTTCGTTTTTTACTTAAGGAATAACTTTGAAAGCGCGTTAATGAAGAGAGGTAGCTTCTAGAAACAACGAAAATGCGAAGAAAAAAATAGCCGTCAGCGTTTCAAACGAAACGCGCCCTAAAAGTAATAGGATTTTTCTCGACATTTTTGTGGTAGTATTGTATACATGTCCATGTTCAATGTTGCCAACCCTTAGAGGGCAGTAATTGATTCAATAACAGTAAAACACGTGCGAGTCGCTCAGACAACACAAATATATACCGATTTAACGAGTTTATAACAAAAGAAAAAAAAAATAACTACAGCTGGTGTTCAATTTTGACGAAATATAGACGCGTGCTTTATACTTTGTATTGGAAAATTTTTCTTAATTACAAAAAAATTCTCGATAAGATCCCAGAAATGATTGACCAATTAAATGCAATTATTTAAATATCTCGGTTAGTTGATCAATTTCAACCTCGTCTTATTCGACAGCTTCGTATACAATTACGCAAGTATCTATATAACTTTTTGAATTAATTTTTGAGACAGGTATAATAAACCATATTCTTATATTTCTTACTTTTTCTTTGTTTACCTTATCCACTACTGTATTATGCTATTTTAATCCTAATGAAGTACCTATTCGAATTTCAAGTTGATCCTAGCATGGAATTAAAATCAAAAAATATACAACTGAATACCGAACGATCCTCGAGAACTTCACACATCATTTTTCCACTATACCCTAAGGGGTTGATTCTATCCTACCAGATCAACATAGCTTGTAAAACAAATTTTGTGAATCGGCAATTGTTTTACTTTTATTTGAGGTGCCTACATACAAAATTTCATTTAAATATCTTAACCAATAAAAAAAACAACTGCGCATGCGCAAATCAAATTTTTCAATTCGGCATTTGTTTTACTTTTATTCGAGGTGCCTAGATACAAATATTCATTTAAATATCTTAACAAATAAAAAAATTGGGATTGCGCAAATACAAAAGTTGGAATGCGCATGCGCAATGTTTTTTTTGAATGATCTAATAATATACAGGACTTATTATAATTATGTAGTAGGTTGTTAACAAAACAAGAATAACTCCTTCTGTTGCTGGACG